TAAACTTATGCGTGTGACTTAATAGGGTCTTAGATATATTGGCAATGTATCAAGAATAAAGGACTTCATTTTAATCTCTTGATACATAAATCAAGATTGACCTCTAATAAGGCATCATTACTACCCAATTTTCTAGGAAGATCGGTTAATCCATTATTACCTTTCACGAGCATGGTTACCAAACAATTCGAGTTCTCATGTCAACTTATCACGAGTGTGATCTTGAATTTGGTTATTAGTCTTATTCGATTATGATCACACAAGTTTTCTTCGATTCCCAAATGTCTTAGCTCTTAGAGTAAACCAACTATGCTCTATTGGTGTACTCCTACTATGGTCACGGATTTATTGAGTAGACATTTATCGAAGTATAATGTGATAACTCCTTTAGTATACAAGGAATGACATGTCATATCTTAGTCATATACTATCTCTATTGGATTCCTAGTGCACCCAACGAATCGCCCATATGCAACCCATTAATGGGTCCATCGAAATGAGTGTCAAAGTGCATAAGTCCTCCAATGAGATAATCATGATGACTTTAAGTCTAAGGACCATTTGTACGCATCTCGTATGAGATTCTCATAGACTAAAACCAAATGGGTTCTAATAGCTAGTCAAGTCTAGTGATATGTTCTCTAACATAAATCACCTAAGCACTTGCTTTGGCATCACTATGCTAATAGGTGTGAGATCTTCTACCGCTATCATATAGTATGAGCATAACACTCACAAGTCTATCCGTATTTGTCAATGTCCATTCTTGACAATGCTACGACTTGGGATATTTAATGATATCATTTATGTGCATTAGTGTTTGTCTCATATTTTTCAATCAATCACTATTGCAAATGCATATCATAAGAACTTATATCTAACTCTAATGAATTTATCAATATGTAAACATAAGAATTAATGATCCCCCAAAACCTAAACATTTTACACTTTAGTTTCTAAACTTTTAATCTTCATAATCAAGCCCTCCAATTTTGATTTGTAACTTCACAGTTTTCATCAATTTGACCTTATCCTATGCCTATTCCAAGGATAATTCAAGTTCTTAAAGTTTTTTAATCATTTTAATCAAAGCCTAAACTTTTAATCTTTACGATTGTGCCCCTATATCAAAGCATAACAATAAAAATTTATGATGCAATCTCTAATTCATTCTTTCCTCATTCCATTGATATTTCCTTTTAATAATAATTGTGTTTACTTTATTCTTCATTAAAGTTTAAACTTTAAACTTTATTCCTTACTTTTAATAAATATACTTTTATTAATTAAATAAAATGTCTTTACAATGCATCTAAATTCTTAGAGGGCTTTAGGTCATGAATATTATATAATGGCTTCTCTAGATTTTTCTTCATTTTTCTCTTTTATTGCTTACTTTTCCTAAGATTTTTGCTTGGATTTTCTCTTTTGTTTTTTTTTTTCCTTTTTTTTTTTTGTCAAATTTTGGAATCCTTTCTCATTTTCCAACCTAATAAGTGCCAGAATGATCTCGTCAAAATCATTTAATTTGTCCCCCAAAACATTAGCACTTTACATTTTAGTCCATAAACTTTTAATTCTTGTAAGTAGCCCCTCCAATTTCAGTCTATAACCTTTGAATTTTCCATAATCTAGCTCTTATCCTAGGCTTTTTTCTAAAGTGATTGTGGTCCCTAATTTTTTTTAAATTATTTTAATCAAGTACTCAAACTTTAATTATTACGATTACACCCCTACGATTTTGCAATTTCATCCTTGAGTTAACACATAATCATATCAATTAATATTATAAATCTCTAATTTAAACTTTAATTAATTCTTTTATTTTCTAATTAATTCATTTATCTTTCATAATAATTATACTTGCACTAATTTATTCCGTATACAAGCATAATTTACTAACCTTTACCTTAAATAAGTATTCATTTATCAATTAAATAAATTATTTTTGTAAATATATTTACTTTGAAGGAGGTTTTAAGGTTACCAATATTACATCTTTCTTCGTTCTCCATCCTTCTCCTAAGTCTTATATTGTGGACCTTTGGCGGAGGTTGAGTTTTTACAATGCGACTTATATTTCTTCGAGATGAATGTGAAAAATATAAGACTTAGGAAGATGCAGTACTTCCACATGAGAACTCATGGTTGGTAATGATTATGAAGTGTGCTTTGACTAAAAGGAGCATTACGACTATCAATTCGATTTTAAAGCCAACGATGGGTCGAACATCAATATGATGTTTACTATTGTTGCCATTTCTATTCCAAATTATGTCAAAGGGGCATGGTATCTTGATCCAAGATATCAAAGCAACTACCATTAATGGTAGTTTTGATAGTTATGACACTTCTAAAGTAAGACAATATTATGAATTTTCTACATAAGAAAACAAACAATGTATGCCTCATTATCCCGAGGGTAGCCTAGGTATAGATTCTAGATTTATCTTTACATGGTTGGGTAAGGTTATCTAACTTAACTTCTTCAAAGGCTCCTATCGTAAGCTTAAGTTCAACCATAGTAGGAGATACTTGAAGCTTTATTCCCATGCATTAAGGTTACGGGTTGCCCTTTGTAGTCTCATGCATAAGGATAAATTTCCCACGTGAGTGGAAGGATGAGTTGCGTGAGCTCTAGGACAGACAATCTCTAGAATGCCACCTCTCTCCTTCTAATTTTAGGCTAATGGACTAGAGTGTGTGAATGTTTAAATATCATTCTTGTGTATGTGCTATTGTGTGCATGCCATACTTTATATACAAGTCCAAACATTAAAGTAAATGCATGAGAATATAAACATATAAAGATAGAACAAAGATAATTCCCAAAAGCAAGAAACATCATAGCCTTAACCCTTAATTCTCGGCAGAGTCATCATTCTATCACATGGTGACCTCTTGATAATCGTAAAATATATATATATATATATATATATATATATATATATGTGGAGTTGCCACTTAGTTTTTAAAATATGAAAACTATGAAAAACCTATCACTAGTCTTAAGAGTTCTAAGTAAGGGAGTTGATTACATCATTGGGGAAGATTACAATCATCCTAGAGTGCCCTCGCAATGAGGTTACCTTGTATTTTTAGCTTAAGAAAAATCATTCATGCAAATTATCTTTTCTATCTTAATTTACATGTTTGATTATTTGAGTTTTTTTTTTTTTTTTTTAATCAAGTCCTAAGGGAGGTGATTTGAAGATTGAAAGAAAACTCAATCTCTCACCTAATACGTAATTGGGTTGTTAAAGCTCATTTGTAAAGGTAAAAATTAAGCCCATTGTACATTAAATTAAATCTTAGTCCCACAAAAACGTAAAAATAAAAATAAAATGAACATAGGCTTTAACCTTAATTCACTTGCCAAACCATAAAAAAGAAAAATAAAATAAAATTACAAGTTTATAATAATTAAAAAACGAACATGGGCCTCAAACCCATATTACCCTATCATGTCATTTTAAAATATAAAATTGGATCCAAAGCTAAAGTAAAAGCTAAATTTGTGAGAAGAAGAAATTAGTAGCACCATAAAACAAATTAAAATTAACTATAAACAATAGCAATAAAAATAAAATAATAAAAAGAAGGTTTTTCGTTGGAACAAAGTCGGTCTCGAGTCCTAAACTTACTCCATGTAGAGTAGTATCACATAAAATAAACACATAAAGTGTAAGACATAAAAACATGTAAAAATAATGACATATCACATAATAACAACTCCATAAAAAATAAAATAGCCAATAGGCTTCTATAAGGTCCTTAACCTATAAGTTCGATTTGGTTTATTTTAATTTTCTAAAAAAATCACTAGCTTATTGGTAGTTTCATTATTGATCTGACAGTTCCTTAAGAATTTATTATATAAAAAATAAGGATAATATATAATATGTCAAACAACCTTTTTTTTTTATTGCAAATAATGATAAAAAATAAAAATAAAACCAAAATAAGGCAACATTAAAACTTAAAAAAAAAAAATACTAATCCACTTTCTCAATCTAATTGAATATTAAAACACATCACACATAAAAACAATTTAAATTTAGATCCTTTTTTATTCTGTCACATATAACCCAATTTTTTTTTCAATTACACCCCTAACTAAACATTTTACATTCAATAATCATCCAAATATTCATTTTCAATCACATAATTGACATTATCATTCTATGAAATAGGGAAGCAATCGGGTAAAATCATAAAATTTGGATGAAAATCGGATCGAAATGTGAAAGTGTAAGAGCGTAATTATCTAAATCAGTAATTTAGGGACTACATTGGATTTGACTTCACCACAAACGACAAAACTTTGAATGACAAGTGTGGCTTACTCGGTGATCGAAATTGAGCAATTCTTGTAGGGTTGGAACCATCTTAAATAGATGCTTCTTCTGATCCAATAGTTGTAGGTCGGCGATGGACAAGTAGCGAGTAGCGATTAGATCTCTGTGACTGTTGTTTTATCTCTCTTTATTGTTTTTGGCTGTTAAGAGGGTTTGTTTGTTTGTTTTTTTTTTTTTTTGGCAGTCTTTCTCCTCATTTTTATGTGTGCGTATGCTTAGCATTTATAAAGATGCTTATAGGTTTAACTTAGGATATTTTTCTTTTTCTTTTTTTTTTTTTTATTAACCAGGTCTAAGCCAATGCTTAATTCGTAGTCCAATATTGATCTAATTCTAGTTCTCTCTCCCCATCTTCCACCTGATTTAAGCCAATTCCTCCCTTTTATTTATTTATTTTTTATTGGGTAAAAATAAGGTGACGACAACAGTCTCACAGGAAGAGAGGAGGCCTCCCGGAGCAAGCCAGAGCGAAAGGGCGAAAGGAAACCTTATAAAAGCAAAAGCAAAGCTTCTGTGTCTCTGTGGATCTAAATCTTAGATCCAAAGGAAAGAGAAAAGAAAATGGGAGTAGTACTAATAGAGAGTTCAAAATGGGAACCGAATCCATCACTCTATGGATTCATAATAATTTGTTGCTTCCTTTCAATCGCTCTCTTTCCTCGTTTTTCCAAAATCAACAGTAACAAATTTCCCTCTCCCTCTCCCTTCTCTGATCACTTCCTCACTCCCTCTTCCCATCGATACTTCCTCTTCCTTTACTCTCTCGCTTCAGGTATATGTTTTTTATTATTTTATCTTTTTTTTTAATTTTATTTTATTTGGTAGGTTATTTTGATTGATATTGTTTTTTTGGTAGTGATGGAAGGAGTTTGGTCTGTGTTTGGAGATTTTGAGTTTGTGTATTATGGCATGAATAAGGAACAGATACTGTTCTCTCTTTGTCTTGGATTTGGAACTTCTCTACTGTTTGGTTCTCTTCTAGGTTTCCTCTCTGATTCAATGTAAGTCTTCTTACTTTTATTTATTTATTTAACATGGAATTTTATATGTTTTACCTAATTACTTAATGGAGTAATAAATTGTGTTTTTATTTTCAGAGGTGGTTACAACAAGGCATGTTTGATGTTTTGCATATTACATCTTTTTGTTGGTATATGCAAGAGTATCGTGTCGCACCCTTGTGTTCTGTTACCCACCCTCTCTTTATCGCTTGCAACTTCCATATTTTCATTTGGTTTCGAGGCGTGGCTCGTTATTGAAAATGAAAAGGTTCAATCAGCTTATTTCTTGATTCGTCATTCTTGCATTTCAATCGGACTCATTCATTCCATTTTCCTTTTGCAGCAAGGACACAGGCAAGATACTCTCACTCACACTTTTTGGTTAATGACTTTCTTCGAGTCCGTGTCGTTGATAGGAAGCCAGGTGCTTGCAAATTGGCTACTCGCTAGTAACGTGGAAAAAGGAATTGCATCTTCTTCCACTGCAACTATCTTTTTGGCAATCATAGGCATAATCTGTGTCGCCGAAGGATGGAAGCAAACTCCGAATACTGCTCTAGTAAATGATCATGGGATGTCTTACACACATACATTTAATGGTGAGTGTTGTAAATTTTCTTTTGGAGTAAAAACTTTATGTTGTATTAACTGCTGCTGTAAACAAATTGATTGTGTATTAAGAACATCTTTGATAATAACAATTTGCAGATTGTAACAAGGTTGCATGCCAATTTATCATGTGATACCAAAGCATTTCAATCTAAAATTAGAATATTGAAATGTCCACAGTAATTATTAGATTATTTTGAGATCATCTACTGTATTTTTGGAACTTAATCCGCCCGTTTCACATTGACAGAACAGATAATGACGATTTATACTGGAACGATTGCTTTTTATAATCACCTGTATCCATTTGCTGTTCATTCCTTTGACAATATACCATAAGTCCTAAACTTACTGTCTTTTCCATAGTAACCATTTTTTATTTGATGATTTTCTTTATGTACAGCTGAGTTAAAGTAGTTTTGTTCATTTCCTCCCTAGATTGATGATAAAATATAGAAACTTGTAGAGGCTGAGCTTTTCTTTGGAGTTCATGGCTTTTAACTGCTGGCTTTTGACAGCGATGGCAACAAGGAAACATTCTTCATAGTTCAGAGGATTGAGCAAATCAGGATGCAACACTAGTTGATTGATATCCTAGTATAAATTTGTGCCACTATTGGTTTTAGTTTCAGCCTTTTATTTTTTTTTCAATCTAATCTTCATCCATTTTTTGACAATTAATTCTATTTATATTCAAATGTCTATCTGGACATCCTAGTTTACATCATCCTTGAAAAAGTGGATGCGATCATGCCAAACATGGGCATTTTGAAGGTCAAATGGTCTAACTAACTTTTTAAGATGAATGGATATTTTTTAGGGTAGAGGCAAAGAGTGGAAAGCTTTTGATGTGCTTTAGGTCAAAATGCCATTAGATGTGACCATAACTTATTTAGAGTATCTTCCCATACCTTCAAATCATTAATGACTTCTTATACTCTTCAGATAAACGGATATTGTTACTGGGTTTTGCACATGCTTGCCTTCACTTCTCCATTGCAATCTTCTGGATCCTGTGGGCCCCAACATTGGTGGTATGGTTATCATCAACTACTTTAACTATTTGGTTCTGTTATCTCAATTTCTCATAATTCTGTAAGCAATTGCATCATGTTGATCATTTATCTTGATCCTGTTTAAAATTCAATGTTCTTATGCTGACATAAATTTTTTTTTATTGAAGTGTCAGACATCTATGTCGTCTTCTTTTATTCTAGGACAATAGTTCAAATATTGTAAAATCTTTTGTAAATCTTGCACCACAAGTTAATAGCCCATTTAAGACCAATCATTTACTCATAAGAGGTAGAAGGATATAAAGCCTTCTGATAAGTGGTTGTGGTTTGATATTGAAGCAAGATGCAGGACAATGACAAATGCTAAGCAACAGGTTAATCCATGTATCATAAAATGGTAAAATTAATCTGGGTGACAAAAGAACATGTAATCAGTTACTGATTTATGTTGGGAAACAGCTAATATCTACACCCTAAATAGACACGCCCCTTCATTTTGTATATATAACCAAGAATAAGTATTTTAGTGACCCTTTTTTCAGAAAAAAATGGTATTGAATTCTTCTAGTGTTTTTTTTTTTTTTTTTCATACAACCATGGAAGAGCTTAAACTGATTATACATGATCGTTACTTAGTAAGAAATAAACTCCTGATGAGAAAATATTATAATTTTTATATTACATTTGGGTTTAGGCTGATGGACGAGAAGTGCATCTAGGATTGATATATCCATGCCTGCTGGGTGCAAGAATGCTGGGAAGCACAGTGTTTCCATGGTTATTGAGTGGTCCATTATCACTTCGGACTGAGGATTGTCTAGTCTATGCTTTCACTGTACTGGGGCTTGTCTTGTCTATTGTAGCTTATGATTATCAGGTATGCTAGTCTTTGTCTCTGAATCTGGTCCTAGGTTAGCTGGCTCTAAATTCATGCTGTTAAACTGTAAAATGCAGGAAATTGGAGTTTTAGTGTCATTGTTCTGCCTATTTCATGCGGGCGTGGGCCTGATTATACCTTCACTGGCAAGATTGAGGACTATGTGAGCTAAAGTTGTGTGTCATTTTATTTTAGCATTACTAATAGTGATCTTATCAAGCTGATTAAATTGGGCTGTTGTTCATCGTAATTTGTTCATAGGCATGTACCAAATGAGTTACGAGGAGGGATGATGAGCCTTTCTCTAGCACCTGCAAATGCAGCTATTCTGTTTTTGCTGATACAAGTGCGTTTCTCTAACCCCAAATCACTTGAGAGCACATAGGTCGATCATCCATTCATTTCCATATGTAAGGGTCACTGTGGTGCCAACTTTTGGTAGCCCCATGGTGACCTCTAGAAGAAATGTTTACTGTATCACATCTTTACTAGTGTCTGTTGTGATCTTCACCATTTACAATATTGGGCTTGCCACCTTTGTCACATTTCAGAGAGGCTATTACCAGAACATAGAGAATTCAACAATGGTGGCACTTGCTGCTCTTGGTCTTTTCATGGCAGCTGGTTCCATGCATTTGTTGAAGCGATGGGGAAAGCAGCCATACCAGAACTGGCACAAGTCATAAACCCAGGAGGTCCAATGGATACCGAGCTCAGTAACAAAGTTGATTTGGTTATGGTGTACATCATCTGTTATTGATTGATTAACTGAAAGTTGAAAGAGTGATCTTTTCTGCTTCAAAACACAATTGAAATCAGCAAAACAAGGTATACAATTTCTCAAAATTAAATAAAAACTGAACAAAATGAAACAGATAAATGCGACTGCTAAAATGCGATGGCCTTGAAACTGTCTTCTGGAGGGCTAGGAGCAAAGGGAATTTTATTGTTAGATATTTTTGGTTTATTGAATTTTATTGCTGTGTTTCGCAGGAAACACCAGTATCTTAGCAGCTGTGTCAGCGAAATCATCTACTGATTAAGGAGCTATAGATAAAGGCTTCTATATCTGGGCAGTTCTATGGGGATATGCACAACTAGGGAACAATAAGAGCCACTATGTGAAGTTACAATTTGCAGGGAGCAACAAGTTAATGAGCTGAGAGTGGTCAAGAAGTAACCTGCTGGACAATTGTGGTTAGTTTAGGTTTGAAGTTACAATTTGCAGGGAGCAACAAGTTAATGAGCTCATTGTGGCACGTGTTATTAATATTTTTTTTCTTAATTTTTTTAACCGATTTTAAAAAATATTTTTTTTAAAAAAATGAAGATATGTTTGATTATTTTTTCTATTAAAAAAATAATAAAAAAGGGGAAGATAAAAGTATTTTTTATATTCAAAATGTCTTTTTATGTGTTTAAATTTATCTTTATAATATTAAGTAAATTTTAAGTATATTATGAAATATTTATATTAGTTTTTTTTAAATGCAAATAGTTTAGTTTAAAATTTTAATTTTTTGAATGATATTTATAATTTTATAATCCTTCAAAAGAGTTATAATTTATTTATTTTGATTTGACAAATTTCTTAATTTGATTTACAAGTTGGAATATAAATTTTGTTATAAATTTTAATTAAATTAAGAAATTTGTTTGCTCTGGGTCCAACACTAATAAAAATTTATATTTAAAAATTTAATTGACCATCATCACATTAAAGAAAAAAATCTTGTAAATATTTTATTTTATATTTAAATTTTGTTTACTATTGTAAAGATAAATTTAAACTCAAAAAAGGTATTTTAGGTGAAAAAATTACTTTTATATTCAACCTTCTTTAGGTTTTTTTTTTTTTTAAAAAAAATTGTTTATTTAAATTGGTGAAAGAAAATATCAAGATTAAAATGAAAAAAAGAAAAAAGAAAAAAAGAATAGAAGGATAAGATTAAGGTATAAAAAGTAATAAGTTGATATGTGTTGCAATTTTATAGAGCTAACATTGTGATTATATACTGTTACTTGAAAAATTAACTAAGAAAACAAATTCAAGACAAACTAAACATAAAGAGATGAATTTTAGATCAAAATAAAAATAAAAATAAAGAGATGATTACAAAAAATGATTTCTACAACTATAACTCATTTTGACAAGAGTTTGTTGTGATCAAGTTACTAAAGTTCCTATGTTGATGGTTGTCAAAAAAGAATTTAATTATTCAAAAACATGCATAAAACTAGGAACTCAACCTGTTGATGAGCATTTTGTAAATTGGACTAGCAAACTTAGCTACCATTTTGGCGAACTCGAAGTCCTACTTGATATGTGATCAGTCGTCGTTTTGGCCAGCTCAAAATCCTATTTAATATGTGATGAGTTGTCGTTTGATTCAATCTAACAAATTTAAGACGTGATTTATGGTGGTGGATGGTGATTGGAGATTGAATATGGGGTGCGAATAAAAGTTTTCTTGCATTTTGTATCTACAAAACAAGTCTTCAAATTGGATAAAAGACTCTTTAACGCCTAAATTAGTAGTCGAATGAGGCAAAATTGGTCTAAGAAGGTTCTTATATGTTAGTGTATGATAATTTGCATATAGTTTAGCAGAAGTGTAAGGGGTGTTTGCAATGGACATGTTTGGAGAGTATGCTAGGAATCTTTATATAGTTTCATTGATGGAGCATGTAGCTTGTGTTAGAAGTTGAGAGGAGAAGAAGCTTCGTGAGGATATTCTTCTTTCTGATAGAATTTTCTCTTGTATGGAGAGCTTATATGTTGGTCCCTTTGATGCTATTTTTTAAGCCTTTAAATAACTAGTGACGAAAGCTTCTTACATAGTCAAAAAGATAGAAGTGTCTTTTTTTCGATAAGGTTAGTGGAGAGCTGATAAGTGTTAGTGTTTTGTCATCATTGTATTTTGATTTTACGATAGAGTTAATATAGTTATAATAAGTGATGATTTAATTGATACCATCATTAGAAATTTCTTATTTAATGCTGTCTTTGAATGATATATGTTCTCTTTCGGATCGTAGCTCTTAAGATAAGAAGATTTCACAGTCTTCTTTCTTGGAGGTCACTTTCCGTTTAGAGGACCTAGTATTTTTGGGTGCTTTAGGCTCGTTTAACGGACCAATTCTTCTAGGGGGTGTTGTGGCCTTTGATTGGGCTTGACACGCTTTGGAGTTAGGGTCCTTAGATCTTTTTGTTGGGTCGTGTTGGAGAAAGGCTCCCTATCAATATGAGTTTTACATTTTAGCGAGGTACTAGGATAGAGACCGGTGTTCTCGTATTTATAAAATCTATCTTAAGATTTTAATTAATTTTAAAAATTAAAATAAATCAATATGAATTGTGATTTTTTTTTTTAGTTTAATATGTATTTGGTGGTAATTAATATCATGTATGTATTTCATGTTTGAGTTTAAATATATGTTATGAATAACCTTGATTTTGATCGATAAAGGAAAAAAAAACTAATTATCTATTTCATTAAAAAATGTAATTAGAAGAGTCAAAAATCGAAAGACACCGAGAACCAACACCGAAAGAATGCTAAAGCAATTTATATTGAAAGAGAGTTTAATGTTAGTTAGTGAGTCTATAGTTATTGATTAAAAAATCAAATCATTCTCTGCATGATAGTTAAAGCTTTCATTATATATATATATATATATATATATATATATATATATATATATATATATATATATATATATTATTTTGCATCCACGTAATTTTAAAAATTAATTTTTATTAGTTAAAACCTACTTATAAATTTACTTAGAAAATGATACATTTAAGTGATGACTTATTTAAAGTGTCTATACTATTTCAAAAGAATAAGGAATCATATTTTTTATACATGTCGAAAAGTCATTGTCGTAGAGGGGTTTGTGACGTTAAAGATCGAAACAATGACACTTAATAAATAAATTCAAAGAAAGGATAAAAAATAAGTCGTTGCCTAGTATTAACAATCACTAGGAACCAATATGGGTAGCTACTCAAAGTTCAAGGTAAGGAGTTGATTACATGCGACAAAAATTAAAAATCATCCAATGCCGTCTTACCTAAAGCATCTTGCATTGAATAGAAATTCAAACATAAATTCTGATTTTGCTATGATGAAATTCTATGCCTATATGATGTGTCTACTATTAAATTAGGGACTAGGTTGTTAAGTGATTCCGGATTTAGCAAGTCAAAAGCTTTATACTCACTCTAAAGCATGAGGCTAATTAAACTAAAAGAAAAAAAAAAGAAAAGATGTAAAGAATATGATAGATGTGCAAAAATATGCCGACAAAATGTGCAAAAATATACGGTTTATTTAAACGCATAAAAACACCACATGGAAACATGCACAAATATATACATATTGGTTTAAATATGTGAAAACACAACTTGACAACATGCACAAAAATATACGGCTTGGTTTAAATGGTGAAATCATAGTTTGAAAAAATGCACAAAAATATGCAATTTGGTTTAAATGTGTGAAAACACAGTTTAATAACATATGAAAAGATATGGAGCTTCGTTTTGATGTGTGAAAACATGCTTGGCAAAATATGCAAAAATATACAGACTTTATTTAAATGAGTGAAAATGTAGTTTAATAACATGCAAAAAGATATGCATCTTAGTTTTGATGCATGAAAACAAAGCTTGATAGAATGCATAAAAATATATGACTTGGTTTAAATGTTAGAAAATATGGTTTGATAACATGCGCAAATATATGTGTCTTAGTTTTGATGTGTGAAAACATAGCTTGACAAAACACATAAAATATGCGGTTTGGTTTCAATGCATAAAAACACAAGCTTAATAACATGTGCAAAGATAGGCTTGTTTTGATGTATGAAACGAACGTGTAAAAATATACGACTTAGTTTAAATGTGTGAAAACACAGCTTAACAAAATGCACTAAAACATGCGACTCGAGTTAGATGCATAAAAATACAACTTAATTTGTATGCATGAAATGAAAACTCACTACTTAATTTGAATGTTGAAAGAAATAAAAAAGAAAGTGGATTGAAAAAGCTACACTGTGGGCATAATTGAATGAAAATAAAGAGATAAAGGACTACAAAAAAATACACAAGAGGAGGGATCAAATTAAACTTTAGCCATCAAATCCTAAAAATCCATTATAAAGGTCTCTTTTTTTTTTTTTTTTTGTAGCAAAACCCTAAAAGCAACAACCCCTCTCTTTTAAAGAATTTTTTGGCCTAGCTACCACAAACCTATCGAAGCACAACCATAAATGTTATCGTCCACCCTTCAAAATTATCGATCATTACCTAGCCACCGTCGTCTCTCCCACTCCAACAAGCCTAACCGAAACCTACCAAAACCCACCTCTCCTATAAGCACGAACCCAACCAAAAGATCCATATTAAAAACCAACTACCAGTAGTCCATCATGCAAGCCACCAACTTACCGATGGCCACACCCTCATCGAAATCGCTTTGCCTATAGTTACTCCCACGTAAGCCTCCCTTCAACTAAAAAACCCCTTTAGTCGAAATCCTCACTTTTGATCTCCCATTTGCTAACTACTACGTTGCCATCGCTCATAAGCTAGCCATCTTCCGTTGTCTTCTTCCCTTCATCATTCCCTCTCCAATAGCCTTGAAACTAACCCCAAACTCACTAACAATCATTGCTC